GTACCCAAAGCCGACAAATCACAATCCACAATTCGTGGAGCTGGGGCCTTTTATGAGGCACGTTCCCGAATAAGGAGACACCTCTAAATCCACCTCGGCCGTGCATTCACCTGCAAGTCCCCGAGGTAACATTTTTATTAATATTTAATGCGAGTTTTGCAAACTTTCCCCTAATCCCCCCGCACATCAACCCTCATAAAACGCAACTTTTCGCACAACTGACAACTCAATTCAGCATTACTCGAAGCGCAAGACCTCCTCCTCCTCCTCGGAGCACTCCATTTTATATGCCCCATCCTTGTGCACGTGCCAAATATTTTGGCCAATCTCCCAGAGATATCTCCAACTCCGACTTTTCCACTTTTTTCCCTCCATGCAAAATATTGTGGACTCCATTAGATGTCACTCCTCTCGCTGGTTCTTGCCCGGCATAACTGTGTAATGAAAAATATTCCGCCAGACTTTCGGGGATGTTCTGATTTTCCTAGACGCCCGTTTCTCACCACCCCAAGAAGGGCAACAACAAGTGGAAACTAAACATAAATCATAAATATTTTAAAGTTTCAAATTACCAGCAGTGGCAAAAACAATCAATGCCGGCAAACCCAGACACCACCCACTGCCACGCCCAAGGCCTTTTTGAGGCGTTCCCCAAGCGCTGTCACACAGCTGTCAACATTTGCCAAAAAAAAAAAAGAGAAGAAATGGAGGAGAGGTGGGGGCAGCAGCGCAATCAGCGCTAATCTAATGAGTGCCAGTGTTGCATGTGGCAAGCGTACAAGTGTAGCTGTTCGCCATTGTTCAGCAGGTGTTTGGCAGATCCCAAATGAAATGACAAAGTGCGTTTTCCCCACGCTTTTACACTGCGGGAAAAATTAGGCATGATATCTATGGAAATGGAAATCGAATCTATGGAAATGTAGCGCATCTCTAGGAGAAGCATTCTGTTTCTGCGAGTGGAATAAAGTAGTTTTAAACCTTAAGGCTTAGTAGGCCATTATCATGGGTGTACAACATAATTATATAGCTTCTTATTTCATGTAAGTAAAACTTCTCTCGAGCTATAGTTTTCCTCAGTGTCCTCGCTCTGTGACAGCTATGAATATTGCAGGATGCCAAAATGACATCCTTGTAACTTCTCAAGTATGTAACGGTGCCTTTATGTGCAGTTACCGTTAGCAACAAAGGAGGCAGGAGAAGGACCAGCAGCAGCAGCAGCTCGCCTGTCCCATCCAGCCGTCATATAAAAATAATTGTTTGCCAGCGCATTCATTACCCATGACAGCTCTCTCCGTTTGCGATCCTTGACGGGGATATTAAAAATGCAATTTCTGGCCCAAAAAAAAAAGGAAAACAGAAAGTGCGTCGCCCACCGCAATTCGTTTGCATCCTGCGAATCGCCTTGCCGGGTTACGAGGAAATATTCGCAAAAGGACTGGAGAGTTGCAATTTCATTTAAGGTCTCATCAAATTAATAAGAAATACAAAATAATAAACATTAATAAAAATAAGAATAAAGGTGCATCAGATGGGAAATGGAATGGAAATTGCTCATAAACAACTCCATCAAATAAAGTGCACACGCAGACGGCCCAAAAAAAAATAAAAATAAAGACAATTTGTGTTGTCCCAGGTTTTTTTTTTTTTTTTGTAATTTTTTGTTTTTTGATTTTGACTTTCGGCGTAAAAACCGCAGGACAATATTAACAATGACGCATGGCACCCACACAATCAGCGAGACACAACACAGGCAGGATGCAGGCAGGGCCGAGAGCCAGACTATCAAATTTTAATACGCCATCCTGGCCGTGCCTTTATTTCATAAATTTTTAATGAAATTAAGCGGCAAAGCTTTTTGGATTTTCGGGATGTCGGGCTTTCGGCTCTGGTGTCTGAGTGTGGCCATAGCATTTCGAAATAAATCATAACGAGTGAAATACGTAAGTAAACCAGGCATTCAGACATACGGACACCGTTTGCATACCTTTTTAAATGGTTTTTTTTTTTTCTTTGTTCAAGTTTCAGTCGTTGCTTTTTCGTTAACCACAACTAAAAGTGCGCCCCGTTAAATTATAAATTAAGCGGTTTTATGCGGACTATATATATGCATGTACACACGCTCGCTTTCAGGATTTGGCCTTTTGTTTTTAATGAGTGCGATTGCAGTGGCTTGAATTTTTAAAAGGGTCAACTAGAACACAATGGGAGCTTCCTGGGGTAATTCAGTTAGAGATGGGTAGAAAAAGTACACCTGGCAAAATCAAAATAAATCGAATGAATAAAATATTTAGTCGACAGCCTTTGAAGTCAGTGGACAGACTAGCCACGACTTGGTTGAAGGCTTCTTATTTATACAGGTTTTGATAAAATTTTGTGACCGTCCCTACTAAAAGAAAATGCAAAACAATTAAAGATCTAATCTCAAATATAAAAGTTTAGTTAAAAATTATTTTTCATTAAACAGAGACACAATCACCAATAAAATATAAAAAATAAAAAGAAACCTAAATGAAGTTGTCATGGTTTTACAGACTTGCATATCCTTACTCACGACTCACGCACGCCCCTCGAAATCCAAGCCCTGAATGCACCCCATAAAAGTATGCAATGCAAAAGAAAAACGTAAAATAAAATAAATAAAAAGTAAGAACGGGACAGTGGCAGACACAACCCCCCGAAACCCGAGGACATGGCTCTGCCATATGCGAAATCAAAAGTTGTTTATGACTCAATTTGTAGTTTTGAACATGAATTATTGCAGCTGCGAGAGGGGCGAGCCGAATTGAACCCAAAAAAAAGGACTTCGAGTGGGGGAGGAATGAAAACAAAGTCAAGGCAAACACGAATATGTGCTTGAACACAAATTTTCGGATGAGGAAAAACTAATTTCACAAAGAGGAAATTAAATATGGCAAAGTTTGACATGTGACAGATTTCTCGTTGTTGCTGCAGCTGCTCTGGCCGCTCTATTTCGATTTTATATTCATTTGTGCATGCGAATAATTGAAACATTTCTGGTGGCAAACATGCACATTTCCATTTCAATTTGCAGCCAAACAAGGACTCAACCAATGCGGATATATGTTATGTATATTCTCAGCAGGACAGTGCAGGTGAATGGCCAAAGTGGAATTATTTGAGCTGTTGTCATTCGAACGGAACTCTTTTCGAGCCCAGAGCTTGAAAAGCGAATCCCTCTCCATTTAATTTTCCCCGGAAGCCCGAATCCCGAATCCCATTCCTCATCACATTTCATTTCATTTCGCATAGTTTGCTTTGTGTTTCGTCTGCCGGCCAATTTCGCATATTTTTACGACTTGAGCTCGGCACTTAATTTAGTCAATAACATGCAAATGATTCCGCCAGGAGTCTAATTGGAAGCGCAACTCAGCATTTGTCTGCAAAGTCTGCCAAGGCAGACTGCAACTTTTCCCCCTCAGTCTATAGCTGTCTCGTGTCCTGCCTTCTATCCGCCGGAATCCGCACTAAAACCTGCGGTGCGTCAAACTTATAATCAAGAGGGGATTTCCCTGCGCCGAAGGGAGCTAAGAACTTCAAGACTGATGAGCTACGGCTTTTCTGCCTTTCATCCAGCGGCGACTTGGCCATTGAGAAGGTGAGCCCGCAATGGAAATACATTGAGAAAAATTAAGTCTTCAAAATAATATGATATCTTCCAGAAAACATTTTCAGTAAATACTGCTAGGGTCTAGAGAATATTACAAAACCATATCATAAATTTAATAAATTCCGGATAGCCTGAATTGCCCCCAAAATTTCTCGCTGTGTGCCAAGTGCCATCTGCAGGCGCTGCCAAGGATGCTCACATTCTTCATCATCAAGTGCTGCTCAGTTGCACGTCTGTGATATGACTCGGTTGGTTATTCAGTTGCGGTTACAGGGTCCCTCCGTCGACTTCTGGTGGGTTTTCCCTCTGTTTGTCTCGGCAGTCTGTCTGTCAGTCTTGGTTTTTCCAGACGGGTATGGGTTTCGGGGTCTTATTTCGCAGCAGCATTCCGGCTCTCATGGCACTGTTGACACATTCCCCAGACAAATGGCCACATGTAGTAAGTGTATAATTGGATAAGAACTTGGTTCCCAGACCTGGCTGACTGTCTCCCTATTTTTCCGCATGATTTTCCGCAACTCTTTTGTGGGAAACGCACTCGGCGGAGGCCGTTCAATCAAATTAGCGTAGAGTGCATTCGTTGGGCGAGCAAACTAATATTCCTGGCCAAAATGCTTCATGGCTGACTACTTATCGCTTAATCACATCACGGGCGGCACGGTATCGGGGCATCTGCATAAAACATTTAGCAACATCAAATCGTTACCCGCCCATCCGCACACATCAAAGCCAATCAAAATGGCATTTCAATAATATCAGAGCCATACAATCGCATCAGCAGGGGTTCCGTTGGGTAGAATGGAAGGGGATCCTGGAGTCCTTCTCTTCTCTGCTCGGTTGTAATGGAGCGCGCATATTTCGATTCTGGATTTGTGTGTGAGTGTGTGTGTGTGGGGGGGGGAGGTGGGCTTATGAGTCAGTGAACACAGGATGTGTGTGAGTGTGCGAATCACATCAATGATTCGTTCACAAATATTACAAGCTTGGGCACGCAGCAGAGAGAGAAATGGCCACACTGCAGCTAGAGGGAGATGGACAGATGGGCTTGCGGAAATTGTGTCAAAGGAGACTTTCGCTTTCCAGCAAAATGTGTCCTTGTCTGTGGGTGTGCGCGGGTGCGTCATAAAGATATTGACAGCCCCATAAAGATAACCGTAGTGGATTGTGAATGGCATGTCAAGGAAGAAATTAGGCGATGTTCTCACTCCCACTTTCTCTTTCTTTGAATACTCTCTCCAGGGAAATAACACTTGCCGAAACCAAAATGTATGGGAATTAAGGTCTGCATATAGGTCACGGTTCTGAATCTTGCAAAAACAAATAATATAAATACAGATTTGAACTATTTTCCCCCAGAAAAACCCTTTGGTAATGTGTTTGAAGAATATATTCACAAACTTAAAGAGGAAAAAATGTTGTGTTTAGCCAATGTGAAAGATTTTATAGGCAAAGCAAAGTGAGGTCTTAAAGATAAAGAAACACTTCCTCACTTCAAAGAGTACAATAGCCTTCATGCTGGAAGATTTTAAAAAGAGTACTACAAATTTTTCACATATAAATTTTGCTTCAGTTTGGCCTTGTGTGGTCTTATTTTTTTTTTGTATCCTGAGGTGTTGTGGAATCCATCCTTAGCCTACTCCTCCTCCTCATTCTCCTTCTCCTTACAGCAGCAACATTCGGGTTTCTTAACTTCTTTTTTCGGACAACCGTCATCGTCTGCACCGGGGTCCTTCAGTGAAAACTGCTTATTGTATATGGGTGTGGGTCCATATTCTGGCGGGAAATCCTCTGCCATGCGAGTATCGCAGTCACCGGGCTCGGATTGCCCTCCGCAGCCAGCTGCTCCTCCACTTGATCCTGCATTCTGTTCGCATCCTTGGCCAGATTGGCCACTAGATTCTTCGCAGCAGTCGCAGCAGTCTTCCTCCGCCTGCTGATCACATCCTGTATTGTCCACCTGGCTGTATTCCTTGCAGTTCTCCTTGGTTTCTGCTGCTTCTGCTCTGTGGCAGCTCTTCTGCAGTCCTATGTTAGACATGCCCCTCATCTGGGTATCTTTGCAGCATTCACTGTTCGCCTTCGTCGCCTCGGACGAATGTACGTTTTCTGTGGAGCAAGTATAGACACCACCGCAGTGCGGGCAGATGGCACATTTAGAGGGAGCCACTTTGTTCTGTGCCTGTTTGCCCTGTGCTTCCCTGCACTCTTCTATTGAAGTCTGTGCCTGACACCAACAATCATCGGCCGCCTGTATTCCTGGACCTCCGAAACACGAACAACTTTCGGGAGCTCTTGACTGTTGGGACTTGGACTTTGCTGCTTTTCCCTGTGCTCCTGAAGATTGAGCTCCCGAACCTCCCGTACAACAGCAACTATTCGCAGCTGTGTTCTGTTGCGGCGAACAATTGCCCGACTTGGAATTTGCTCCTTTGCTCTGTGCTCCTGGAGACTGTGCTCCCGAAGCTGCCGTACACTGGCAACTATCGGCAGCTTTGTTTTGTTGTGGCGAACAATCGCCCGACTTGGACTTTGCTCCTTTGCTCTGTGCTCCTGGAGACTGTGCTCCTGAACCTCCAGTACATTGGCAACTATCGGCAGCTTTGTTTTGTTGTGGCGAACAATCACCTGACTTGGACTTGGCTCCTTTTTCCTGTGCTCCTTTTCCCTGTGCTCCTTTGCCCTGTGCTCCTGAACCTTCCCCACAACGGCAACCATCCGCAGCCCTGTTTTGTTGTGGCGACTTTGATCCTTTGCTCTGTGCTCCTGAAGACTGTGCTCCTGTACCGGCCGTACAATAACAGCAATTGGGAGCTTTGTTCTGTTGCGGAGAGCAATTGCCCTGTGTTCTTGGAGTTGCAATAGAATGACAACTATCAGTAGCGCTGTTATGATCGGCCGACTTGGTCTCACTGGTAGCATCTTCGTCGGTCTCCTCGTCCTTGTCCTTGTCCTTGTCGCAACAATAACAACACTTTTTCTTCTTGGGTGGCTTCGGGCATTCATCTGGCATGTCATCGGCCAAAGGCGAATAGTGACCAACTAGCTTGGCCTGCTCCTCCTGACGTCGCTGCTCCTCCTCCTCAGCGCACTCACGTTTCGCAGGGGAATCCTGATCCCCTTCCCCGGGTTCCTGTTCACAAACGTTTTCCTGCGCTTCCGATGTGCAATCGGGATCCTGCTGTTGCTTCTCGGATGGGCAAGAGCAACACTGTTGGGAAGCCTGCTGCTTCTGCTGCTTAGCTTTACTGGGAGATTGGGAACCTGACTTTGACGGCGACTGACTTCGGGTATTCTGATTTTGGCTGCAGGGGCAATCAGGATCATGCTGCTTTTGTTGCCCCGATGATGAGTTGCACCCACCACCTGCTTCCTGCTTCTTTGATCTCGCCGATGACGGGGTTCTTGTTCCCCCGCTACCGGGAGAACAGTTTCCTTGCTTGCCCGATTGATTTTTATCCTGCACCGGCACCATTTGAGTTCGTGAAATATCACAGGCGCAAGAATTTTGCTGCGGAGAACTACAAGCATTTTGCTGAGGAGCACCACAAGCACAGCCCCCGTCATTTCCGGATTTGCCTCTATCTTGCACCGGCACCATTTGAGTTTTGGACATGGCACAGCAACAGCCATTACTCTGCTGCTGCTCCTGCGAATAACAATTGGCCGTACTCTGAGTCCCCATTGCCGCTGTGGATCTGTCAACCATCTGCACACAATTACAGGACTTCTTCTTGTCCATGCACTTGCTACTTGTGGCCGGACGAAAGGCCGAACCCGCTATTGTTGTGGTCTTGCTGAGTATCTGGTCGCATAAACAGGACCTCTTGTCTATACTCTTGGTGCTTGTGTTCGGGGGGAAAGCTTTCTCCATACTCGCCCGGCTGGTGATTACAAACGAGGCCTTAGTCCTGTCCGCCGTGCACTTGCAGGCCTTGTCCTCTTCGTCGGACATGGTGATCTCCCTGCCGTACTTGCACAGGAACTCGATTATCACTGCGTTGGTCCAGCCGTAACCCACAGCCGCTTGATTTGGAGAGGCTTCCCCGGTGGTGCCAAATTCCTCGCAGAAATACTGTGACGGAGAAAAGAGTAGGAACTAGTTTATTACCATGTTAGGCTTAAGGTTTTTGAAGGAAGGAATTTTCTGTGACTGCGTGATTGAATGTACAATTTGACAATCAACAAAATTATGGAAAGTTTTTATTCCTTAAATAAAAATAATACCCTAAAGCTCAGGCAGAACTTACCTTCTCGGACATAAAGCCCTCCGATCTAAAGGCTTCATAATTTGACTTGACCCAGCGATGAGCCCATCGCCTGGACATCGCCTTGGAGGCCCGAGTGCCCAGATTGTCCAGCCCCTCCAGGACCATAAACATCATGGGCGGAAACACGTTTGGATAATCCCACTTCTGACCCGCTGTCTTATTCAACGTGTGCGGCACTCCGCCGTACAGGTTGTCCAGATTGTTGGTCTTGATGTGCTCCATTATCGCCTTGGACACCTTGTCAGTGTCGATCAGGGGAAAAGCCCGAGCCCACAGCGGTGCAAAGTTAGTGCAGCAGAAGTAGTTGCGAGACCGATTGTTCTCCACGTCGTAGTCTAGCCAAATGCCGGCCTGGTTGCTCCACAGGACATCGCGAATGGCCTTCACCAGGACACAGCAGCGATCTTGGTACTCTTCGGCCTTCTTGGCGTTGCCCGCCTTGCGATTGAACTCGGCCAGGATCTTGCCGCTCCGGAAAATTATGGCATTAAGCTCCACGGGCACAATGGCCGAGGGCTTGGTATCCTGGAGGGAGGCTTCGGAGCTGCCACCCTTGGCCACAAACCAACGAGAGCTAAAATCCTGTCCCGATTCACTGGCCGACTTCAGTTCGGTGTAATACTTTTCACGTGCCGCATCATCCATTTTATTCGCCGCCGCCAAATCCTCTCTATAGGCCTCGGGTCGCGGTCCGGGACAAGAGGATACAGCCCGGTATTGATACATTGTCCTGCCCTTCACATCAATTGAGCGCTGGCTTGTGAAGGACTCATACTCCTTTTCCAGAAGCGGCAGCGATTTAATGGCAAACTGCTCATCCTTGGTCACGTCAACATAGGACTTCATCATCATAATCAGAAGCGGCGGGTGTGTTCGTCCGGTGCAGTAAATCCTGCCACAGGCCGGCACATAACCATATTCCTGAACCAGCGCCAGAAAGTTCTCAATCATTCCGCGGGCCGTTTGATGCATCCCACACTGGAGCAGGCCTCGGATGATCCAGAACGAGCCCCAGTAGCTATACTCGCGGGAATTTGTGTCGGGAACAATGAAGGGGTTGGGTACGTAGATAATGGAATAAAGATCCGGACTCATCTTGACATCGTCTTTAATGCGTCGACCCAACTGCTTCCAGAGTTCGTTGATTTCGGCTGCGAATTGCTTGAGAGCAGGATCACAGACCTTGTTGAGAAACGACGGCAGAGGCTTCCAGTCTGTCGGGACCCAATGCTCCAGCTCCGAGCCGGGCGGATTAAAGTGTTTCTGGAGTAAAATGAGTACATAAGGATTGAATAACAAAGAAAGCATGAGATTCCTTAACCTCTGGTTAGTTTTGAAGTTAAGAAAAGTTAAAGTAAGTCCTTTAACAAATGGTAGTTAAGGAGACCTCTAGTTAACTCTATTGCTAGTCTGACATCTAAAACATACTCTTAAAGTCGAAAATATCCCACATCTTACCTCAACAAACATCTGCAGGAACTCCAAGGAGCCATCGTTCCTGGCACAATTGCTGAACAACTGGTAATCGGACAACGTCTGTCCGGTTGTATAAATACAGCTCATGTCCACAAAGTACTTGCTATCGGGAAACATGCACGATTGCTGAACACGATCCAGCAAAGGACCCGAGCAGAATACGTCCCTGAGAGTGGTTTCAGTGAGTGAAATGGATCCAGCAGCTCGCAGGACTTACTTGTTATCCGCGTTGGCCGATGGCATCGGTGGACTGCAGCCGCAATTTAGGGCCATTTTTAAGCACGATTTTGAATCCGGTCTCTAACTTTCTACGTCTAACGGAAAGGCCAAACTGAGGAGTGATTTCTAGACTAAGTTCGGAGATCACATCCGAGCACCAAGTCCCAGGCGACTGAGTTTCGAGACATACATAAATCAAAATCCGAACGGCAACCTCTGTTATATTGACCATTAAAGCAAATTTGTCGACATTTGCCATTAAGAGTCAACAATGCTCGGCCATAAATCAGCGCAAATAGACAGGAAGCGCCTGCGAATCTTCTCCGGACTCCTTCTTCCAGGGCCACACATTTATTTTAAATTACCATAAATGCCCCTGACCGAGAAAGCGAAACCAAAACCGAAACAAGAGCAGTGCCGCGGCGGGGTAGAGCGAACTTTTGCCTAAAAGCTATTGGCCTCTGTGTCCATTTGTAATTTCCAGACAATTTATCAAACCAAAAGCAAAATGAAGACAAGGGGGTGGCTGGCAAGGAAAGGGAGAAGGCCAGAAGTCGGAATGGAAATGGCGCAGAAAATGCGCTTCAAGTGGCCATGGCCATGACCATTACATAGCAGCGGAGCGGGATTCGGGATTCAAATAAAGTAAAAATTCTCCGATTCCTGGACAATCAATTGAGAGGAAAGTAGGGGGAGGGCAATCAGCCGCGGGCGCGGCACTTCATAAATTCCTTTGCCTTGGCTCCACTTCAATGCAAGTTTTTAGCATCGACATCGACATCGGCATCTTTATGAAAACTTCTCAAGTGGGGGAAAGGGAAATCGAGGAAGCACGGAAATTAGTCATGTCGCATTCACATTCTCTGTCGTCTGCAAAGTTTCAATTGAATTTTCGTCCGGCATTACGGAAAATGCAGCGACTTAAGCTTGCAGCTACGTTTCGGAAAGAGATCCGCCAAATAATTAATTTTGCATATGTGAAAATGCAGCCAAAGGATGCAAAAGGGAGTCCCGACACTTGTCCTGACACTTGACCCGCGGGCAGCAAGTCGAGGGTGATGAAGAATGTACACTTGGGAAAAATGGATGGAAAAACAAATCTATCAAATCATATAATAACATAGAAGACAACCTTTAAAATGACATGAAATGAGTCTGATACAGCTATAGGATGACGAGGAAAAAGGATGATGCTGACTAAAGCCAAAGCCAACGAATAGACACGACGAGAAGAGATCATGTGATATCAGACAACTAACGAGTGACGCTGTACGTTTCTTTTTCTATTTCAAATGAATATATTTGTCTTTAACATTTTATTAAATAAAACCATAAAGGTATGTTCATTTTCCAAGTGCATCCTGCTTCCACAGCTCACTGCAGGCTCATCACCGTCACTCGCTGTACCAGCTAATTGAGTATTCTGCTCTTAAGTGGACACAGCCGCCTCCGGCGCCTTTCTGCCTCATTTGCAGGCCCGCACATAAATCAATAAGTTGCATTTCGGCCTTAAATTAATTAAAAAGAAAATTCGCAAAGAGCAGAGGTTCGTTTATTTTTTGTTTTCCAACAACATTGCAGTCTTTATGGCCATGATGTCTGTGCTTAAACACTCCGCCAGCTGACAGCAATCAATCAAAAATTGCACTTGCCTTAGCGCGGCGGCGACGGCGAGGGCGGGCGGTGACGGATGTATCACGTCGCACCACCCAGAGGGAATCCACCCAAAAGCCACCCATTTCCAGCTGGGCCGGGAGCATGATAAATTGTCAACACGCTGACGTTTGTCTGCAGCGATTTAAAAACTACTTAAAATGTAAATGTTGTTTCCCTGTTGCTGCTGGTGTAGTGTTGCTGCCGCTGCTGCTGATGGTTCTGCTGTGTTTGGGTTTTATGCACACGTCGCGCAGCGTAGACTGCGAAAATCATGTTGTTGACTTTGAAAAAATATGTGTAAAAATGCGCTATTGTAAATAACAGAACATAAACCCCCGTGGGTGAGGCGACAGGCCACCGACTTCCTAGTTGACTGACTGTCTGAGGGAGAGTGATGACACGGCAATGTCAACACAGGCAACTTTGGCAGCAGAACAGCTTCAGCAACAATGTGTGGCATGAAGATGCCACGCCTCTGTGATTGCATTTTTACACTTGTCAGTGGATTTGAACCATCTCCACCATTCTCTGTTTGTCCCCTCACTTTGTCGTCTAGTGTCTGAAGTTTGCACTCCCTGAAGTGGTGCCTCCACACCGCAGCCACATCCTGCTGTCGCTCGGGTGTTCCTTCAACGCCAAATGAGTTATAAATTCAGCTGTCAAAGGACTTGACAATTGATTAATTGAAATCGACTTGGAAAGTAAGATGATAAGCACACACGCACCGAGGAAGGAAGAGGCTGTCAATCACGCCGCCCCGGGGCCACGGCCATGGATCATTCCTTGATGAGCCAACTTTGACCGGGTCAGATCAAACAAAAGGGGCTAAATACCAGAGGGCAAGCCGCAGACGCTCAAATTAACCAAGAGTCTAGTTAAACAGAAAACTTTTGGACCTACCCGCCCCCGCTGATAGACATCTTTGCCTGCCTGCCTGCCAGCCTGCCTTCCTGGCCCCCAAAGTTGACAACTTAAATTGTTAGTTGCCCGATAAGCCGGCAAGCCTGCAACCTACCAACTGTCAGAGTGGATGAGAGTGGGCGTATATATAACATTTTTATTTATTTCACTATTTTTTATGGGCGGGGAAGGGGGCAGCGGATGGGAGGGTGGAACACGCGCCACATGCCAACGACAAACAAATAAATAAAATTCCTCTTTCAGTCTGGAGATACCACCCCGCTTTTTTTTTCCTGCCGAGGGGTCAACGTAGCTGGAGAAGTGTGTGTGTTTTACAAGTCTATTAACTTGTGGCGCTTATCTAATGCTGACAGCAAGTTTTTCACTTTCCCGAAGTTTTCGGCCTCCCCCCTGCCGGAAAACGTCGCTTCCTGAGGGGAGGCAGAAGAATTCTCCTTTCGCGAGGGGCCGGGAGTTAAGGGGGCTGTCCCGATGTCAATCATTTGTTGATCATTTTTCTTCCAGCCCCATGCATAATGTATCGCCTAAATTTGTAGCTGACCACACGGGTCGTTCTCAAGGATACATTTTCAGTTTCACTGAAAGAAATAAAGGTGTAATAAAAGAGTTATTCTCTTTTTTAAAATATAATAAATTATAAAGTTTAAATTTTATGTAAATAAAGCTATATTTATTGTACTTATTAATTTATAGTCTTAAAAATTGGTTTCCTTCAACTTTTTTTTTAGTGCTAAAAAGGAAAAGTGCCAGACTGCCGGGGCAAAAGTTTTTCCTTCGGAAAACTCTTGATTTCCGTGGGGTCTGGGAATTGGTCAAGCAAGTTGCTGCTTCATTAAATGCGACGCCAAAAAAGTTGCATCCGTGCAGCTGCTAGAAATATTTATGAACTGTCCAAATGCCGTCTCTCTCTCTATATAAATACGAGTCTAGTATTTGCCAAGTCACACTGTCACACACCCCACCTGGCCATCTGGCCACCTTCTTTCAATAAACGTTAAGCATTACGGTTATTAGTTTCTGGAAGGGCACATAAAAACTTCAACTCGAGTCGAGACTCGTAGCCAGGGGCTTACGCAAGGGGAGTATAAAAGTATGCAATCATATCTATAATGCAAACCTTTCACCACCTTCATTTCATATTAAATTTAAACACTTGTGTGCAATTGTATAATTTTAGTGAATTAATAAATAGAATTTCCAGATATCAAAACCCCCTGTAAAGAAGCCCCTGCCCGCCCCTGCCTGCTACACTGTTGCCAACATTATGTTGGCACTTTGCTGATGCTATCTTCGGCTGTTGCTGTTTCCTGCTTGCTGCTCGCTGTTGCCACTCTGTAGCAGCAACATGTTGCTGATGCTGATAATGCTGTCGTTGACTAGTTGACTATGTTGCCATTCCCGGAATACTTGAAACGATGGGGTCCTGTGGGAATTACAACGGCCGTGATACTTTCAAGTGCATTACATGCAAAGTCCTTGGGGCAGTGACAGCAACAGCAACGGCAAACTGCAACTTATTAACGCGCAACCAGAGCTCTGCAATTGACCGCAATCCTGCAGATTCCGAACCCAAAACCGAATGGAAATCAGGATCTGAATCTGGAGCCGGAGCTGAAGCAAACGCGTTGACGACAACGACAACGACGACGACAGACGGAAACGGAAACGGCAAATAAACGCACGAGCGCTGACGTGCGGGCACCAGCGTGTCAGCGTTCTTGTCTTTGTGTTGTGCGTGTGCCGTGTGTGTGCGGCACTTGTTTGCATGCAACGTGGCAACATGGCAACGACAATGGCAGCAACAGCAACTGCAGCAGCAGCAACGGGCATTTATCTGGCTGCCCCAGACCTGCCACGCCCCCTCGTAATACATTGCGGTCGGGATGTTGCATGTTTGTGGGCGCTCGCCTGCGTTTGGAATTTTTTTTACCAATACCTCTTATTCGTACAGGTCAACAGGGTATCCTGGAAGTCGGTTGTGTATTAGTAAAGGATGTAGGATTTATATTTATAAGATATTAAAAATTATAAAGACATTTAAAAAAATATAAGCAATATATAAACAAAAACTATTCTATATTCACAATCTGTTTTAATTTAAAACAAGTTTTTCAACATTAAAACTAAGACGATATAGAAAAATAAATATAATTAACACTTAATTTTATCCGATCTCTTTTTATCTTTCACAAATATTAAGTCCCCCACTCCTATCCTATATCTTTTATTACTTTAAAAATTAAATAACTCCCAAGTATACCTTAGTCATCCCTTAGTCGCTAGAATGTTCGACTATAACCAATTTTTTTACAATTTTTATTTTGTTGGCCTCGGCGCCATCGTTCGCATGCACGGCAAGGATTTCTCTGCTTAATTTGTGGTTTTCAACCAAACAGAACAACGAGCAGCGATGGACGATGGCTGGCAGATGGCGGAAAAGCGGTGGAAATGCAAGGCGGGAGGAGAAAGGGAAGCCAAGCTAACCAACTGGTCAACAGCAATTGCAATTGCAATTGAGGTTGCAGTCGCACGAATATTCCCGGAAACCAGGAAGCCCTTAAATATGATTATGGCATATG